ATTCATCAATACCCCGTCCGGTATTCCGGTGAAAGGGGTCACCCACATTGCCCCGTCCAGTATGAACGCAGCAAATAAAATTTGCGATACCCCATCCGGTACTGCTCCCCTTCACGGTATGGTTCCTTATATACGATCTCCGTCCACCATCTCTCGGAAATATCCACTAATGTTACTATTCATTCATTCATTCACTTAACCAATCAATTTTCTATTTACATTTAATTTTCAGTTTCACAATTTAACCATAAATCAACGCAAGACAAACAATACATGCATCAAGGAAACACAATTGAATCATTTTATAAATTTCAGTATATTATCATGCATTTAAAGTTGTAAAATCAAACAATTGGTTAAACATGACAACAATAATAAATAAACGATTCTATCTCTATTAGTAATATGTAATTAATTATCAAAATTTTCTAAATTACGCAAAGTATTATTGATAATTAAACTTAAATTCTATAATATGAAATAAGGTGAGAGATTTTTACCCGAATCGGTGTTCAAAATACCGAACTTTCAACTGCACCTACTGGCAGTCTCCGGGTTCCCTGAATTTTTCTGCAGAGATTAAAATACGCTTTATGTACCTAAAAATACTCCAAAAAATGCAAAATCAGTGTCAAAAATCTTTTTCGGCCAATTTTAGAATTTTGGCACGGCGACAGCACCGCTGCTCGTATCGGCGATTTGCCTTGGCCTGACCGTTTTCGGTCAGTTTTGGATGATTTCGGCCGGTTTTATACTCATCACTGCGAGAAAATACATTAGGGGGCCTCGATTGATTGAAAAAAGTTAAAAAATAAAAATTTATCGGCGGCGAAATTTTTCGATGCGGTGGCTTCGCTGACTCACCTTTGTGGATGAACATTTTTCTTTGGTTAATCTATGGAAAATAGAATGGTGAACACGATGGTGAAAAAATCACACGAATGGGAAACGGGAATGGGCTCATCGGAGGTAATTTTGAGTTTTGCTTGTGACGGCGCCGCCGGATTTTACTCATGGTTTTCAACTCATCTGTCATTTCTTTTGCTCCGATTTGACTATGGGGATGTTCGAAATCAATTTCCAAGCGGATAAGATAATTTTTACTTTTTTTTGGCGATCGGAGGTGACTCCAGCGCGGTGGCGGGTGACGGTCAGTAGTCGGCTCTCTTCTTCGGTGATTGGTTCTTCTTCTCCGACGGAGGACTAGCGGCTAGGGTTTGGGTTCGGTGTGATGTGGGATATTTATACCCATCTTCCTTAAATCTGGGTTATTCATCGCATTTGATATCGACAATCCGATTGCGTTTAAAGAAAAAATGAATCTGAATCATTCACTGCGATTTGATCTGAACCATACGATTACATTTTAAGAGGGAACGAACCTGAACAGTTCATCATGTTTAATTGCGATCGTTCGATCGTGCCTGATAAGAGAATGAATCTGGACCGTCCATGCGCGTCGGAACGCATCCGGGCCTCTGATCGCGGGCACGCTGATTATTAGTGTGGCTTCTCGCGTGATGTCTAGTCAGCGTGCTTTGCCACGTAGCGCATTCCGGTTCGTTGAGGCTGTTGACTGGGCAATCATACGTGGGTAATATTTCTTTCAAAAATACTTCCCGAACTTAAATTTTTATCACTTTTTCTCAAAATTATTTTCAATTTCATCATCTACCTATTTTTTTTCTTCATAATTTTACATTAAATAAATTTTTTTAAATTATTATATTTATTTATTTTTTAATTTTAAAATTAATCTCATGAGAAATTTCTGGACCGGATATTATACGATTTTTTTTTCTTATACTTTTTTTGTTTAATATTATATATAATAAGACATTGATAAATTGATCATTTAATATAATATACAATCATACCATGGTATCAATCAAAACAAAAAAACTGTCGTTACCGTATATTAATGCACAATTTCTTCAAACATATTATAATTTTGTAACTATCATATTGTGTAATTACTAAACTTTACCTTAGATTAATTACTTACAAAACAAAAAATAATTAACATTAATTAGTTATTATTAGTATTTCAATTATTAAATAAAAAGGTGGCTGATTTAATTTTAGTTTTTAATTTTTAGAGAGAGAGAAGGCAGCTAAGCTGTTCACAGCTCCAAACTGAAGAAGACATTGTCAATGGGTGATGATTGATAGTAACTGATAAGAATCAGAGAGGCCAAGTGGCCAACAAAATGAAAAGAAAAAACTGCACCTACCACATCAGACTGTACGGACATGGGCCCCTCCCTTTTTCTTCAGGTGGACTCCTTGATGGGAGGAAATCTATCAACTCAATCCATTACACCTTTATATTATTCACTCTTCTCCCTCTTTCCATTATACATATATATACATACCCATTTACCCATTATATACATACATAATTTTTTGAGTTTATCGAAATTGACTCGTAAACATTTTATTTTTTTGTTCACTATATTTATATTGATGGTCTTAATTGAATTTAAACTTTTTATCCTCGATCCTCAATTTATTTAGTTACTAGTACGATTTTAATTATATGAAATTTGATTTTCAATACAATAAGTCTAAAAACATATAATTATATAAAATAAGATTCGCATGATAAAAAATATGATTAAGTAACGGAACCAAACTCAATTTCTAAAAATTGAGAGGAAATTAGATTTTGATGTTTAATGTTTGACTTAGTCTCCGTGTTTCTATTAAGAGAAAGTTTATGATCTACAATATTTTTAATCTGTCGTAATCTCGTATAATTTTTTACGTTTATCGAAATTGACTCGTAAATTTATTTTATTTTTTATTTTACTACATTTATGTTGATGGTCTTAATTGGATTTAAACTTTTTATCCTCAACCCTCAATTTATTTAGTTACTATTATGATTTTAGTTATATAAAATTTGATTTTCAATATACATATATATATATATATGATAAAACAATAAATCTAAAAACATATAATTATATAAAATAAGATTCTCTTAATGACGGGACCAAACTCGATTTCTAAAAGTTTGAGAGGAAATTAGAGTTATATATATATATATATATATAGTGTTTTACATCTACATCTTGGTCAATGAATTTAACTTCTCAAAAACCCTTTTCTCCGTTTGGCGGCTGGGAAAAAACGACTGTGTTTTTTTCTTCTTCTTTTTTTTTTTTTAATAAAAAAATTACAACATAAATTAATCAATACGTACATTTAAGTTTTTTCAATAAATTAAAATTTGTAGGCAAAAATAAAGAAATATATATATATATATATATATATATATAAAAGAAACTGGAAATCTGACAAGACCAGCTAGGCCACCATAATGCCATTGGCGTCGTGGGCAAATGATGTCATGTGGTAGGTGAAACTAAGAAAAATAATGTATGGTTCATTAACCGGCCATCGTCATTCCAATCTGCATCATCCGTCGTCACCGGCTTCCCTTTGAAATTATTATTGAAAATTAATATTTACATAGAATTTTGTAAAATATAAAATATAAAATGGGTTTTTCCGTAATTATACTCCATTCAAATTCGTATTAAAATTTAAATTAAATTCAACTGGATTAATGACAAATAATTATAATTCCTGGGAATATGCTAATTCTTTTTTTTTTTTTTTTTTAAAGAAAAAGAAAAATAAAATTGTGACTCGAGTGGTGAGTAGTAGTACTATATACAGCTAAGCATTAGCCAATCAAAACACAAAAGACAGTAAACCAGTGATAAAATTACAACTAACATCATTCAATAAAATCCCACGTCATATATATATAGATATATAAATATAAATATAAATATATATAAACATCCACCTCTTTCTCCCTTTCTCTATATGCTTTTTCTCTTTAGCAGTTGATCCGTGTGAATCCTCTACCTCCTCCTGTATCTTCTCCTCTCTTGATCTTTTCTCTCTATCTTTTCCCCCCCTCAAACCCCTCTGGATCTCTGCATTTTTTTTGACTAGCTTGATCAATCTGCTGATAAAGAAACATGGGTTCTCTTCTTTTTCCAGGAATCTGATGTGGGTACTATTGCATACTTTGTTTTTCTCATCATCCGAGCAGAAAAAGTCTCACCCAAATATCCCTGGTCTTTTTACACTAGCTAAGCTCGGTTTTATGAGATTTCTTCTTTTTCTACTCGAGATTTTTCCTGGGTGTTACCAAGATTTGAACTTTTTCTCTCCAATTTACAGATTAATTAATGGGTTCTTCTTTTTCCTTACAAAAATTTAAGAAAAAAAAAGGATTTAAAATAGGGTTTCCTTTTTGTTTGGTTATACAGGTCTAATTCGACTGGGTAGATTCTTCTTGTGTACCACTCACGTAATTATTTTATGGTTTAACCACTGGTTATAGGCCACGTCACACGCTTTCCGTGGTTTGCACAAAAATTTCTCCAAATCTTTTTCTAATTATCTTTTTTTTTTTCTTTAATTTAAAAAGGAGATTTTATTTTAAAATTCATTTTCCTTTCTCCAAAAAATGTTCTCTGTGTACTTTCTTTTCCCATTAGATTGGTTTTTGGTCAGGTGATTTCCTCTTCTTCTTTCTCTCTTGCTTATCATCCTTTTACGCTGTAAATCCCCATGTTCATATCAGTTTTTTTAAGCTCTTATGATCTTATGTGCATGGATTCATTGACAGTCGTTATTTGTGGGTGTAGCATCATCAAGATTCACATGCAAATCCAACGGTGGTGGATCTTCTTCTTCTTTTTCTTCTTCTTCTTCTTCTTCTTCTTCTTCTTCTCTCTATATATATTGCTGTCTGTGTGTGTGTGTGTGTGTGTGTAGATATGTCTATGTGTGGGCCAAAGTTCTTTGAGAGTGAGAATCTTGATGATGCTGCATCGACAATAGACGACTATATATACAAAGGAGGCAGTAGTCCTACTTATACAGTTCTATGCACAGCTATGGCGCCAGTCTGCACCTTATTTATCAACAGCTGCAAGAGGATGATTTATATATTCCTTCCAATATTATTCCTTTTATGTCGGTTTCAGGTGGGTATTTAGCTATTTACAGATTTAATTTATGTTTAGATGGTTTTTTTTTTTTTCTCTCTGTAAATTTTTTCTTTCTTTATTTGTATATATTTCATGTTTCTCCTTTGCACTTCTGCAGGGATCTTTGCTGTGTTTGACTGCCCAGATCTGTGATTATTCTCCAGAAGCGAGAGGGAAACAAATACATACGCGGAAAACACTCGCACACATATATATACTTTTAATGGAAACAGAATCTTTCTAATGAGTTTCCTGATATGGAGATGGAACTTCAAAAGGGTAATTAAAATTTTATGTTTTAATTAATGAAAGTGGTCTGTGTTTGATCAGTTCTTCAGATCCATGTCTGGATTAACAGATCTTTGATTTTTAATTTTAATTTCTCCGTTAATTGAAGATGGAATTTTCCATTTTTTGCAGAGAGAGAATTGAAGGCATTAATGATGGTGTCATGAGCTTCATTAGAATCTTTAGAAACAAGCTGTAGGAATCTGCTGAGATAAGGAGAATCATTCTGATTATGAACAGGAAACTGAGAAGGAAAGGTAAGAAAATGAAAATGAAAATGAAAGTTTATATTTTTATTATTAGTTTTTGGTTGTTTATGGGTTTCGATGATATCATCTGAACTAATTTGGGCTATATATACCTATCTATATCCATATCCATATCCATGTCTATATCCATATTGATATGTGATGTATATATATTGTTGCTATCACCTTCATTTGTCTTGAGTATACAGATGAGAAAGATCCAAAAGAGAAAATAATATTAGATTAATATGTTTATTGACATTCTTCCCCAAGTGGGTTTTTTGTCTGTGAAATCAGTAAATCTTTCAACGTTGAAAATGGTGTCTGGTCTGATCTGGTCTGATAACGAGTTATAAATACATATATATATGCAGCTTTGATTCTGCTAAAAATCATGGCAAATTAGAAACATGTCACATTATCACTGCCATTGTTGTGTTGGACTCAGGATTAAATCTGTACCCATCAAGTCTGTTGGTGGACCAAACCATTATATATATCTATATATCTTGCAATTTGAACCCTTCACATGCATCTATCTATATATATACACTCTCTATATATGTTTGTGTGTTTTATATGCATATATAGATAGAGGTGGAAGGCTTATTAGCCCACCCATTTCTCCTCTACCCAATAACTGCTCAAAATTTCTCAAAAAATATAAGCATATATATATATATATAAAGTATATATAATAATTCAATTGATATAAATTTCAAGATGAATTCTGTGTGCTTGTCTTCACCCTCTCCAGCACTTTGGTTCAGATCAGTAGATATGTGTGTGTTAAACAATATTTCCCATTGAGTCATTCATTCAGCTAGCTACCTCAATTAGTCTTCTTCTTGGCTCACTGATTTACTTGACTTATAATTCTGAACATGAATCTGATCATGATATCTTTACCATCAATTAGTAGAATTCTTATGTCCTTGAGTCCAATTTTAATTTCCTTAACTACAGAAATAAAATTGAGCCAAGAAAATCATAATCTTGATAACCCATATCGAGAAAGTTTCAATCTTTATAATTATTTTCTTCAAAAGGTCTGAAATTTCTTAAGACATGGTGATTTCTGAGATCATAGAAAGCCATGTACATATACAATTGTGTATGTATAGACAAGGAAGAATATATCATCTTTGTATATATGTATATGTCTCATGCTTGGGATCTATCCTTTTTAGTTCTTCCTTTTTAATTTGAAGAGAGCCTAAGAGGATTGAATTACTCTTCCCTTTTTTTCTTTTCTCATTTTACCTTCTTCCAAACAGATCCTTAGGCTCTAACAGTACCATTCCTGGAATCCTCCTGTAATGCCTGCCTCTTGTTAGGCCTTATGGCATTCTGATCTAATAATTCTTCATGTACTTTTCAATTTTTTTTTTTCTTCTTTTGAAAGAAGGAAAATAAAAAGTGCTTGCTAGCTCTCTCTCTCTCTCTCTCTCTATATATATATATATATGTATTCAGACCCACTTCAATATATGTACATATATAGATTCAATATCTTCCTTTCCTTCCCATAACTATCAAGAACACAGAAGAAGATGCCTGAATGAGATGAGAGTCTCGTATGCCATCATTGATGTGTGGTCCCCGATTAACTTTTATTTCTCTATAATAATTTTCTTTTGAATTGTATTAGTTTCAATGAGAATAGAATTATGATCCTGCATGTACGTTTGTGCCAGCATATATATACACAGTCACAGACACGTATAAGAGTTTTCACATGCATACATACATACATACATATATGTATATTATGCCCATATATCATGTGTACTTCTACTTGAAGTCCAATTTAAACTCATCAAGATTTAATTTATACTTCCTTTCTTCTTAGGTTCATTTTCTTCATAGGACTTACCTATTTTTACCCTTTTTATCAACTTAGATTTCAATTAACTCTATATAAATAACATAAAATTCAAACTAATTTAATAATAAAAAGTCTAAAAATTGCAAAAAAAAAAATTTCAGACGACCACGAGTTCAATAACCCTAGTTAATAACTATTATCCTAATTATCGATTCAATAGATTTATTTATTTATCAAATTTATCATTTGAGCTTTATAACATAACAATTCTTGTCTGCTTTTTCTTGACTCCATTACTATTACTCTTCTTTTAAATAATATTAATATGATTAGAATTCTAATTATACGAATCATTATTTACAGTCAGATTCTTATAAACGGTGCTATCATAATATGCTTTTTGATGTTTGATTATAATTAATCGAGAGATAAAATATTATCTCCTTATGTAATGAAGATCCCTCAATTCTCATAACGAGTAACTACATACTGATCGTATATTCTATTGAGTCAACTGTGCTTGTTTTTAATCTAAGTATTGTATTGAGGTCATGTTTGCCAACAATTTTTTTATCACTCAATTTTTTGGTCGAACCAAGTGCCTATTAGAGCTCTTATTTTGAGGTTGCTTTGAGTTTGTGCCCTCTCTCGCTTGTGTATATTCTATTTCGAGAGTCTTTTTAGTAGTTGTCGATATTTTTGTTCGAGCTTACTTATAACTATTTGTTTGATGGTTCTTTGGTAAGTTTTTATTGTTCTGGAACTATTAGTCTGAGTCTTTTCAGGCTTTAACTGAGATTATTAGAACTTTATATTTTTATGAAGCGTGACATTGTAGGTTTTTTCTTCCGACCTTTCTCGTATACATATACATATTCGTGAAACTAATGATATTTCTTTTAAATTTCAATTATATGCATACATGTAGATACACGTATTCATGAAATTACTTATATTTCTTTTCAATTTCAATTGTATACATGCCTTATTTGATTTGCATATCACATGTATATTCTCTCTATAATATCATCCCAAGAGAACCGAGAAAAATAAATTCAAACTTTGATACCAAATTACAACACCATATATATATATATATACATATACATATACATATATATACGTATACCATCATTAACTTTGATTAGGACTTCATTATTATGTTTTGGCACATTACATGATTTCGTCCAAATTTCTCTTGAAATTATATGTTGCAGCACTCATTGTCTCTATCAACTATTTCACCGTCCTTCTTCTTCATCTTCTTCTTCCCTCTTTTGCTATTTATGTATATATCTTCCATGGAGTTAATATATATTTTTTTCTTGTATATGCCAAGAAATTTCCCTTCCTGATTTCACCTAACTAGTACTATATATATATATATATATAGATACATATAATTATGTACATATACATATATATATATATATATATATATATATATAGTGTAAGATTCTGCAATAGTTAATTTTTTAAAGGATCAGCAGTAGATATTTTTTCTTTTATACAAAAATTTGTTCAAGTATTTAATTTATTATAATCATTTTATTTAAAAAAGTTTAATCATTATATTTTTTATTTAAATATATAATAAATTCGTTAAAATTTAATTTAATTTTATAGTTATAAATACATTAATGAATTAAATTATAAATTTTAGATTGAATTAAATTTCATAAGTTAATTTTTGTTAATTTATAATATATTCATAGAGTATGGAATTTATGCATTCAATATTGTACATTAAAATGATTACATTATCTTTATATGATTACATGATCTTTACTTTCTGAACTTGAATGGCTCTTGACCATATATATATATATATATATATATATACACACATATATATGCATGAATGTATGTATAAACCTTATTATTTGGGGGCAGTTGAAAGGCTTCTGCTTTGCAGTCTATATATATATATATATATATACTATCATGACTGTTTACACACAGTGTCATGTGTATGTATATTCCCTTCGCAAAATTGCTTGTCCTACTTATATGTACAAAATATTCGTTGATAAGATTCTCAAGTCCTTTCATGTTGGACTGCCTGGGACAAGATACGTTTAACTTGTACTACCTAAGATGATTATATATGATCACACACACACACATATATATATATACACATATATTGTTAGAAATATAAACTATACAAAATGATTTCTTATAAATTTCATCACTATCAGGGATTTTTGAGATCTGCTCAAAATTAAATTTCTGGACTTTAAAATTGTAATGCTCCATCACATATATGATATTTTAATGGAAATATATATGTTTTATCAATTGGGTAACATATATAATTCGAAATCAATCTTTTTATTAACATACATACATACATACATACATATATATTATATATATATATATATGTATGGATTTATATATTACATGGGTATGCCAAACCAATATGGGTATTCAAAACCAACCTATTAATGGTGTATATACACACACACATATATCTCCTAAAATAACGAAATACCTAAAATTTGATACTTTGG